TTAAGACATATGATTGATACAAAGTATAATTTAGTTTTTGCCAATTACTAATTCTTTTCTTTGTTTGTTTTGTTTCTTTATTTTAGGATGTTGATGATATTAGTAGTGATGAAGATTAGTCCTTTCGGAATATGGATATTGGATGCTCAAATCGGAATCACCATTATTTTTTTTTTGTTTGGTCATTTGTAACATCGTACTTTTTTTATGTTTGGATTTTTTTTTTTTCAAAGACAATATGTATAATGTGTGTTACATTGTATTTTTAGTTGTATAACTCTAATTTATGCATTGAACTTGATTGAAATGCGTTTTTATTAAATTTGTTTGAAAAAAGTAGGCAAAACGTGCAAGACCCGTTTTGGACCCGGATTCAGACCCGGATCCGTTGGATCTGGATCTGGTTCCTCATTTTATGGACCCGACGGATCCGGGTCCATCTGGATCCAAGGTTGAAAAACGGATCTGGATCCGGGTCCATCTGGACTCGGTCCAGATCCGACCCATTGCCATCCCTAACTGCCACCGACACCCATCCCCTCAACTGCTAGTCTGCCACCCTCCCCTTACCGGCGGTCGGCGCCAAAAGATTCGGCCGGCGGCGACCTCACCCCCTCCCTTTTCCCTACCCACTAAGCCAACCACCCTCCCTATCCCTCACCCACTAAGCCAACCCCACCACCCACGAAGCCGTCCCCCACCGAAATCAGCCCCCCTCCTCGTTACCCCACCGGAATCGAACCCTAAACCCGAAACCACCCCTAACCCTAAACCTAAAGCCACCCAAATGAATTGAGGGTTTGTGAATTAAGGGTTTGCGAATTTGGTGGTTTAGGGTTTGTGAATTGGGGGTTTGCGAATTTGGTGGCCGTGGTGGTGTTGCAGGCTTCTGCGAAATGGTGGCTGCAAATTGAGGAGGGACTGCGAAATTTGTGGCGGAGCTGGTGTTGCGGGTGGGTGCGAATTGGTGGCTGCTGGAGGTAACGGGGAGGGGGGCTGAATTTGGTGGTGGTTGGCTTCGGTGGGTGGGGGAAAGGGAGTGGGGGTTGGCTTCCTGGTGGGGGAAAGGGAGGGGGGTTAGCTTCGTGGGTGGGGGAAAGGGAGGTGGGGTCGCCGGCGTCGGCCGTTGTTTTGGGCATCGGCCGCAGGCAGGGGGGAGGAGTGGCAGTTGAGGGGAGGGGGTGGTAGTGGGGTGGCCGGACGGTGGTTCGGCCCCACTGACGGAAATTGTAACGGTGTAAGGCATGGGGTAGTAATTTCTAACAAACTATGTTTAGGGTGGTAGCAAAGTTGAAATTTTTTTTAAAACGGTAGCAAATCTAAAGTGAGGTGTTTTAGGTGGTAGCAAATGTGAAAAAATCCTTCCATAAAAACAGTTTAAAGATGCAAAAATTCCCAAATTACACCCTTTACAAAAAAAAATCCCAATGCCGTTCAACTCAACATTTAAATTATCGCAAGTACTAAATGCAGTACAAAATAACCTAAATGCAGAAATTAAGGAAATTTTAGATTTTAACACCTCACAAAAACGCAAAAATTGATTTTAACACCCCATAAAAAAAATGGATTTTAACACCAGATAAATTTCTAAAAAACTTGGTATTACCACCACTTAACTGATTCTGTTTAGGACCCCGTTAAGTGGGTCCATAAGCCACGTGTCGTGTTATTATTGGTCAAAAAAATAAAAAATAAAAGAAAAAAAAAGAAAAACCTAAAACTACCCAGCCACCACCACAGCACCACCCCCGCGCCATCGCCACCTTCCCCCAACTCACCACATCCCTCCTCGAAACCACCAACCATGTCGCACCACCACCCCAACCCACCTGAACCCTCCCCCTCCCTTTCTAGCAACCGTATCGCCCCAAAAAACCACCAAACCCAAAACCCTTGTTCCCCAAAATGGCCACGAATCTGGCCAAAAATGGCCGAAATTGGCCGGTTTTAGGGATTAGTGGCCTTAACCGGCCGATTTCGGCCTTTAAAGGCCGGATTCGTGGCCGTTTAGGGGGGACTAGGGTTTTGGGTTTGGTGGTTTTTGGGGGCGTTACGGTTGCGGGAAAGGGAGGGGGAGTGCTCAGGTGGGTTGGGGGTGGTGGTGCGACACAGGTGGTGGTTTCGAGGAGGGCTGTGGTGAGTTGGGGGGAAGGCGGCGGTGGCGCAGGGGTGGTGCTGTGGTGGTGGCTGGGTAGTTTTAGGTTTTTATTTTTTTAATTTCTCTTTTTTTGAACAAATAAAATGCTGATACGTGTTACTGTGGGCCACACTTAACGGAATTTTTGGATGGAAGCCGTTAAGTGGTGGTAATACCATTTTTTTGGAAATTTATATGGTGTTAAAATTCATTTTTTTTATGGGGGTGTTAAAATCAATATTCGTGTTTTTGTGAGGTATTAAAATCTAAAATAACCAGAAATTAATTAATGATATGAAAATAATAAAATGATTGAAATACCCTTTTCCAAAATGAAAAAATTGATTTGCCATTTCATCAGGATTTTTGTTTTTACATTTTTTATTTTGCAATTCATTATACTCACCAATTTTTTTCATTTCATTCACAATTTCAATCACCATTTATTTTTTATTTTTTTTGCAATTCATTTCATTCCACAAAATTCTTCAATTTGAGCCCTGAAGACGAAGAAGTCGTTCACCGCTCATAAACCATTCGCTCTTAGGTTTTTTTTTCGTTTAATTTTTTTGTTGAATTGTTATAATTTTTCATTATAAGTACCTCGACTTTATTTTTCGGTGGTACTAGACCCCCGGAAATCTTAGCCGGGGGGTACTGAAGACCCCCGGAAAGCTTAGCCGGGGGTACTGAAGACCCCCGGAAAGCTTAGCCGGGGGGTATTGGAGACCCCTGGAAATCATAGCGGGGGGGTATTGGAACCCCCGGAAATCCTAGCCGGGGGGTTCTTGAGACCTCGGAAATTGTATAAGGGGGAAAGGGGCATGCTAGAGACCTTCAAAAATCTTAGCCGTATAAGATGAAAATTTTATATTGTTTGATTGTTCATCTATTACATCACATAATTTTCATACCTCAAAAAAATGTCGTAGTGCACTTCATTATTGTCTAGGAATTTGTATAGTATTGAATACTCCGTATTAAATAGGATACAAGATTGTATACGTTAGAATATGGTTGTAAATTAAATAGTTGGGATAATTATATAGTTAGGAGTGTACAAGATTTAATTTTAATCATTTAAAAAAAGTGTACAGGATTAAGTTAAAACAAGGACAAAATTGGAATATAATTTATTTTTTTTTAAAAAAATAACTTATTCTGCATTTAGTAAAATTATCCTGCATTTAGTACTCCCCTAATTTATTTATTTATTTTTCTTTAATTTACTAATATGCTGCTAATTGAATTAGCGGTTTATACATGTGTGTACCACAATTGTATGCACAAATTCCTATAAAGCTACTAATGAGTTAGCGATTGTTGATTGGATTGTTTTTTTAAAAAAAAATATAAACACAACAAATTTGCTTATGTGGACCGTATGGGGATTTTTTTTTTTGGTAAAAAATGTGTAATTTGGGAATTTTAGCCTTTTTGAGCATTATCTATTAAAAACACCCAAATTTATCCCTACTATGTTCTTCGTACAAGGTATTAAAACACTTGACTTTGAAATAAAAATTAAAAAATCAATCTGATCCAACCTTGCATGAAAGTTGTCCAAATGCCCCTTGAAAGGAAGGAGTAAAAAAAAACATTACTAACTCATTAAAGGAAAGCAAGATTACAAAAGTAATTGTAGTAACTAATAACAAATACCAACAAAATATTATTTCATTTGATTAGATTTTTACCTTTAAAGGGCATACTCTCTTCAGCTTATTTCCATACAGACCCTTATTCTATAAATACGAATTTGAATCCTATTAGTAAGAAATTTCTACAGAGTTCACTTGATAGTTGATACTACATAGATTACTCAATATGATAAACAAAGCACATGGTGTCAGGGGCAAAATCGACAAAGGGCGAAAATGGGTAATGTATGGTTGGTGCACCCGAAAAGAATATTAGGTATATTTAAAAGAACATAGGCGAAAAAAAGAACATTATAAATATTTATAAAGAACGTGAGCATATAATATGTTCTTTAAATTTGATTATTATGTTCTTTGAGTTTGAACTATATGTTCTTTGAGTTTGAACTATATGTTCTTTATATTATATAATATGTTCTTTAATGTATGTACATTTAAAAAAAAAAAAAATCACCCGAGTAACTAGAAAAAAGAACATGTTCTTTACTGTATTATCATGTTTTTTTTGTAAAGACTTTATGTTCCTTGGCTAGAGGTGATCAAAGTTAGACCGACCCGGCTTGATTTTGGACGGGTTTTGGGTAGAAATACTTCGCCCCTAAATCGAATCGGACCCGACCCGTAAATTTAAATTTTTGGGCGGGTTTGGGATTGCGTTTTTATGCATTTTAGTTGATTTTTTTAACTCAACCCGAAAAGCCCGCACGGCCGGACCATTTTGGGCAGGTTTGGGCACAAAACTTCAGCCCAAAACTTGGCCCGACTCGAGAAGTGAGCTGATTTCTTAACCTTGGCCCGGTCCGCCCAATGATCACCTATTTCTTTGTCAAACACGAACATGTTCTTTTTTGTCAAATATAATGTTCTTTTTCAAACACGTTCAACCACCTAAGTAACCATGAAAAATAAACATGTTCTTTTTGTAAAGACTTTATGTTCTTTGTAATGTCATATTCTTGTCAAACACAAACATGTTCTTTTGTCAAACACAGGTATGTTCTTTTTCAAACACTAACATGTTCTTTTTTTTTGCCCATGTTCTTTAAAATATGTCTAATATTCTTTCCGGGTGCACCATGCGCATGGTGCACCTAGGTGTACTATACTATTTTCAGAAAATGGGTAGTATTAGCTGTTTTTTGTGGATTTTTAGCGCATTTAATTATAAATTTCCCTTAAACAAATACTACCGAAATATCATGTTGACTTGTTGAGTAACTTGGATTTTATACACTTCTATCATCACAAGAAAAAAATATACACCGTACGAACTACTGAAAGCAAGTCCAATTGAATTTTTATTAAGGTAGTCGGAGCACTTGTAGCCTGATCAATCGACCATGGACCGCGTGCAGATGGAAGAAGCATTGATGGTCTTAAATAAGGGTCTTTCTCAAATCAAATGGCGCCTTAAATCTTCATCAAAGCTTCGTCTTGAGATTGGTTTGTTCCCCAAACTTCAATTTCATTTCTGGGTTTCTGGGATACTTACATTTTCCTATCAATTTCATGTTTACTTTGCAATTTTTGTTTAATTTATAGCATACCCACTTCTGGGTCAAATCCCATTTCAGGATTTTCTATGTGAATTATTCATGATTATTTCAGGATATTAAGGAATTAAAATATGCTGTATGCTCTAAAATTCTGTCTTTTTAGGGAAAAATTTGATTTTTATGTGCATTGATTGTGTATTAGTTGATTTGCATAATAAAATGATTGTATTAGAGAAAAAGAAACATAATTGATGTAAAATCTGTGACTTGATGAATTTGGTGTTGTAGATGTTTTGGCATTGTGTTCAGGAATGAGGCCTCTTGTGATGGTTGACTATGGTGGGAAAATGCCTGAGCTGCAAGAGCATTTGTGCTCTCTTATTGACCTTATTCACAAGGTTTTTGCTTCAAAACTTCCTACTTTTGTTTGGATCTTTAATTATCTGAACTCACACTCTAACATAAGTATGGACACTAGAGACTTAATTTAGGACCAGAAAAATAGAAAATTTCATATTATGGATGAATTTGACATTTGAACTCGTACGTAGTAGGTAGCAATGTAGCATAAGATATCAGAGACTATACAAAAATGTAACGGAAAATTGACGGAAAATTGGAATTGGATTGATCAGTTGATCTACTTTTCCTATTAGAGACTATGTGACTATTAATATGAGTAGAGGTGAAGGAAATGCTAAGCAAGAAAACATTTTTCTTTTGCAGTTTTTATGTTAGCTATCTCAAATTTTGTACTATATTGTTATGATGATAGAAAGTAATAGCCAAACTTCATGAAATTTTGCATCCAAAGTCAATTATGGTCAATTGTTTTGTGGAAGAGGAAGTAATTTCAAAAACTGTTTCGATCAATTTCTAACATTAACAAGAATTTTCATGTACTGTATGGTATAGGCGCAAATTTTTGTGTTAGCAACATCATTCTTCAAATCTTCATAGATCTTGAGTGACTTACTAGGTGGGAAAAATAACTTACCATATTAAAGGTTTTCAAAAGCTGGGGCACCAGGCACCTATGAATCTATCATCATATGCCTGCCGCAAGTCCACAAGCAATGTGATTTTCTTGGAAATCATATACCTCTCTTGCATTACATATAAGTTCTAAAAGGATCATGACTTTTTTTTTTCCATAAAGAAGTACTGTCTAACAATTCTCTCTTTCAGGAGTCTACTATTTTCCAGCAGTTAAGAGTAATGGTTATTGAAGATATGATCTACCTGTTAAATGTCAGGGAATTTGCTGAATTTGTTACCTGGAGCTTAAGCTTGGATGCGAAACAGTATTTTGTGGATCTTGAGCAGGATCCTCCTAAGGTAGCTGTAGAGGACAGCAATGTTTAAGCCGTTTGCATGTTTCTTAATATCTTTTTCCCTCTCTGACCTCCTTAGCTTTTGTCTTTCAGATGATTTCAACAGCTGTTGGGAGCTCAGCTATCAAGGAGTTGGTATCTGTTCAAAATCTGTTTTCATCGGTATTTACTTCTGATGGTGTTAATTGTGATGCTTTGCCAGGACAAAGTAAAGACCACCAAAGCTATGCTAAATCTTCTTCTAATCTTTGCCAATCCTTGAAAGTTCTTGATTTCAGTAGCTGCATGCAAGACTATCAAATCACAATACCGACTCTAAACGGGTGATTCCCGACCCTCTCAATATTTCAATACTGTAGTTTTGGTCATGTTTCAAACACTTGCAATTGTAGAAATGTGGACCTAGAAGTATGCTCTTCCCAGGGAATTCTATCTTGATTATTATCCAGTAAGAGATGATAGTAAGCTCATGGCTCTTTACTAAGTAGGATGACTTATGCAAGCCTTGCCCAGACACTAACCTGTTAACCAACCAATATTAATTAAAAAAGTTTTATGTTACTGATGGATTATGATAATAGAACACCTCAGAAAGATCTAATGGTTCTGTCATGCATGTTTTGGATATCATTGTGTATATGTCAATAACAATGCTAGTTATTCATGGACTTAAATTCTCAAGTGCCAAAAAAAAAAAAAAAAAAAAAAACTGCTCTGACCACTTACTCTTTTTCTATACTTGTTTTCACGCTAGTTTGGCACTTCATTGCCTTGATTTGGTTCTAGCTAAAAATTTGAGGAAAAGGCCATTTGAAGATATGTACAATACATTTTTCTTTCTCTACTCCCAACATTTGTGCAAGACCTCTACATCTTGGTTCTGGATTTTGTTTCTTAAAGCATAAAATTCATAAGTTAGGCTTATCACGTGACATGTTTTTACTTAAGAATTATGCTCATTGAGGAAATTTTTTAATGCTGGTTGCTTTTATTTTGATTTAGATATTTTCTGGAGAACATAAGCATTGCTTTTAAGTGTAGTCCTTAATTATATTCAGATGGCTTCTTGGATATCCAGTGGTGTACCTGTTTGACAAGGACCATATTTCAGATGCTATCTATAATCTCTCAACCAAGCCTCTTCGCCTTTACAAAGTTCTAGTCCACAGGTTTGCTGCCTTTGAACCATAAATATGTTGTTTCTTCTGTTTTGTTTTTCTCAATGCTTTCTTCCTTGTTTAGCTGAAATTGGGAGTTAACTGTTGTGAAGGATCATGTGAAACCCTTAACACGAATAGTACTGGATTGACCATAGCCCATAGGTATAGACTTTAGACTGCTTAGAGGTGTAGAGAGGCTTAGAGATCTAGCTTACTGATGTAATATGACATTAACTGAATAATATATAGTGAGGATGATTCTCATTGTTTTATAAACAAGAGTAAATTTCCATCTATGAAACTGGCCTTCGTCTTTTTTTTTTTTCTTTTTCTTTTAACCCCCAGCAAGGATATATCAATTCATATCAAAATCTGCCAAAGTTAAAAGACTTTGGGGAAAAGGTAGAAATTTACAAACTCATCACTACCTATGGAGTCCCATCTAGCCACTAGGTGAGCTAGAGTAGTCCCTGTCCTCTTTACATGAGAAAAGGTAAAAGAAGCAAAATTTGAGGAAAGAGCTAGGCCTTCGTCTTAATTCACTGAATTATATGATATGATCCCAGCGTTTATAAATTATGATGAGATATCTGTTGAAGAATGTGGATTTGGAGCAAATATATATAAGAGGCGGTTTCATATTAATGACCACAATAGTGTGCAAAAAGTCAAGGTCTAGTGAGTTTTCATGAACCTTCCACACTTTTCATTCTTACGACTAAGAAAGCTCATTCCTTCTGATACTCTTTGATTTTCCACTCTTACAATTATGCCTTCATTTCTTCTCCTTTTTCTGCAGCTTCTTTTTGAGCTAGTATATGGACAAAGCACATCCATAAAATTTTCTTAACTAATAGAAGCTTCTCTTGCTCATCCTTCTGAACATGTGAAGTTAGGTGGAAACTAGGGAATGAAACAGTGATTTCTTGATTTTGAACTGATTTGCTTCTTCGTTTTTTCCGAAGTTTATAAAGTGGATCCTACCTTGTTGCAATCGTATGAGTTGTATCATCAGAAGATCTGTGATTATTATCAGTAACAACTTGAAGAGCGTGCATTGAAATTCTTGAGTCATCTTTAACTATTGTCTAGCACATAAGCTCTGCAGATCAATAGCTAGCATTGTATTGATATAAACATGCCTTGTGCCTTTCACTGTTTCACACATTTGCTGATCATATAATCATATTTCTGGTGATGGATATAGAGCATATTGAGTGACTTTTGCTCTTCTATCCTGCAGAAATGCCTCGTGTAGCAATACCTTACCAACAGAGGAGCTAATGAGGTAAGCCCGGATTTTGAATATTATCTTTCTCACACATATTTACCTCTGAAAGCAAACTTACATTATATCAGGAATCTGCCTAGTGCCAACCTTTTCCAACTTCTTTTATTTATATATTTTTTTCTTTTCAAATAATGGTTTTGATATGCACTTATAAATTGGCTCTAAATCAATTATGGTAATCTCTTTCCCAAAATGAGGCAGTAATGCAGTATGCATACTTTATACAGAGTGCAAAGTCTTTTTTCGACTAATAACTTGGCTCTAGCATATTTTGGCAAGTTTTTTTTGCTAATCAGTGGAAGTTATTGCTGTTTTATCCTTACTAATTAATACTTGGACAGACACATTCTGACTTGAAATACTTAACTTTCCTGCTTACTTTCATACGAGCTAATGGCTTAAACTGGCACTTTCTTCTTGCTTTATTTTTCCATTGCCCAAACACTGAGGGGGCGTTTGGTATAGATATTGAAATGGAGTGGAAAGGAAACAAATAAGAGGGAGGAATGGAATTATTTAACACTCACCTTTCCATTTATTTGGTTTAACTATGCAAAAGAATCACTTAACCATAGCTCCTTTTCTTTTTGTTTGAGGAAGGTAAGGGTAATTGTTACCTTAGATTTTAGAGAGGTAACAAATAGTGGAAACCATTACCTCTAGGTAATGTTAATGATTTAATTGAATCCATTTCCACACCAAATAATACTCTAACCAAAGATGTTCTGATAATAATCAGCATTGGTCTATGGTGATTACTTAGTCTAGCTCAGATAATACTGAACAGAGAATTATTAGAACAGAATGCTCGGCTATACTATCTGCTGCTAATAGAAGTCGGATTGGCTAAATGAAGACCTTCAAAATTCAAAGCCATCAATTTAAGTCATTTCTTTAAATTGAGTGGTGCCAATGAATATTAGAGCAAGATATATGTAGGATCATGGACGTCCCTGTGCTCTAAGTATTTGAACTTGATGTTGCAAGACTTGCAACAGCAAATACCATTTAATCATGTTTCATATTTTGGAGTCATCCAAAATGTGTCATGTTACAAACTGGCTTAGATAAGACTGAGAATAAAATTTACTCCTTGCATTTCCTCCAAATACATAAACAATCTTTTTTTCAATTTTTTTGGTAAAAACGTTCTGTATCACAAATCCTGGAATATGTTTGCTTACATGAAGATGGTTACAGTTTTTCAGTGCCGTACGACTTGAGCATGGAAGGTCGCAACGAAACGTGGGCGGAAGCGTTTTGGGTTCAGGTGCAAGCGAAACATGAAAAATGTAAACAAGTTTGGAGGTCCTTGCATATGGAGGTCAGTGAATGCTATCCACAAGCAATTGCATTGTAGTAGCTGGTATCACCTTATCGTGGTAGTTAAAAGCCCAATGGTTAAAATGTGATGCCTATTGTAAAATGTAATTCCAATATTCTTTTTGGAAAATAAATTGCAAAATTTATTTTGTTGTACTCCATTTTGGTTTTAGAGCATTTTTAAATGAATGTTAAGTGTCCATCTTGAACTTTGGGGGTAAAACCGTAAAATTACACCTTTTGCTCCCCTTATTGGCACACGAGGAAGAATGTGAGTGGGTGTAAAATTTCACCCTGGTGGCCGACTGGCTGGTGTAGGATGGAATTAGTGAAATGTGCCTGAAATCATCATCAATTTTGGTTAAAACTGAATGTGACTACATAGTAGTTGATAGACAGCAATTGACCTTTTTTTCTCCTTTCAATGAGTTTGAAGATTCTCAACACACACGTAGAGATTACTCCATAGTAGGGAAACCGATTTTGACACATGTGTGATTGATTTTGACACGTCTTGTCTTGAAATGTGTATAGAAAATTATGTTCTCACAAATACAACAAATATTTATGTTTAGCCAATTAGCCAAAATCAAATACTACCTCCGGTTCTTATTACTCGCAACAAAGGTAGTACATAAAGTGTTGTTAGAAAACATCATTTAGTTTAAACACCACCACTTTCTTGATATTTAGGGCCTGTTCCGATTGACTGAACTCAGCTTAACTTAACTGAACTGAAGAACTGAACTTATTAATTAGTGATTTTTAATTACGGATTATTATTATTATTATTAATTATTAATATTAATTATTATTATTATTTATTGATTATTATGATTATTATTATTTATTGATTTTTTTTAGTATTGTTATTATTATTTATTGATGATTATTATTATTATTTATTGATTATTATTATTAGTATTATTATTGTAATTATTATAATTATTATTATTTATTGATTATTATTTATTACTTATTGATTATTGTTATTATTATTATTATTATTATTATTATTATTATTGTTGTTGTTATTATTATTATTATTATTATTATTATTATTATTGTCGTTGTTGTTGTAATAAGAGCTTAAAAGAATGAAATTTGGCTTTATATCATTAGCAATATCATTAGATATAAATTAAGAGCTGAACTGAGCTGAATTGAATTGAATTTCAACGGAAGAGAACATGCCCTAAGTGGGGTCTCCTCCACTTATATGCATTTTGGAATTCTTGAACTTTTATGAATTAATTGAAAGAGGACAGAAGTAGTATAATAAATTAATAATAGAGGGTAAAAACAAAATGAACTCTTTTAGTCTAACTCTGTGTTACCTCAACAAAGAAGAAGAAGGTCAATTAGACAGTTTTAGACAAATATACCTTTCAAAAGTTGCTTCTAAATTAAATAAACATAAAAAGGTGGTTGCTAACAACGTTCTTATTCATAAGAAGAAAACTTGAGTATTTATTTTCTAAAACGAGCAAATTAAAGACTTGTTTTTGAAGTTAGACCCACATAATAATCATTCAACCACAATGTTTCAAAATTAGAAAGGTAAAATAAAGCACTCCATTGACATCCATTATTGCCTCTTTGAATTGCAAAACGACGCATAATTCAAAATATTTATTTATTAATACTTATGTAAAAGACTTGTTTATCATTACACAGTGGAGAAAATTTTTAGAGTTGAATTTTCCCCAACACTTCCTAATTCTCTTCAATTCACTAATCAAATCCCGAAAAAGCCAAGCAAACCAAGAGAGATCTAACACACAAATGAATTAACCACCCTAACAGTATGAAATCACTGAGAAGCCTTCTTGATGAGCTCCAAAACTTCGGCTTCTGTAGGAAGAGCTGGGATTGCACCCTTCTTGGTGGTTGTAATGGCTCCACATGCGTTGGCGAATTTCAAAGCTTCCTTCAATCGGGGTTCATCCTGAAAATTTCATGGCATATACTAGTTAGAAGGCGATACTTTTACTAGGAAAACAGAACTTAGATTTAAAACTGAGGTATGGAAACAAATAATAATCGATGGAATTAGAATTTACCTCAATAATAGAGTGATCATCGACGATTTTGCCTAATAAGGCACCAACAAAGGAGTCACCAGCACCGGTTGTGTCAATAGCAGTCACCTTGAATGCCTCCACACTTCCCTTGAAGTTCTGTAACACAAAAAATATCATAATTTAGTAACGGCTTTGATTAAGACATATTGGGCTTGCACCTAATAATTGAACATTCTATTAATTATAATTTTCCCACAAGATTATAGATGATTAAATTATACATAATCATGATTCATGCACAAAATTTGAAAATTGCTGGTCAATTTCATCTTGTCCTGTTCTTGCTAGAATATACAAGTATCTAGTAATCTGTCTTTTTTAGACTAAAAGACCCAACAATAACATCCCAACAACCCTTCTACATATCTTCTAATAATTTTGATTACTTAGATTCGACACACCATCACAACTCAGTAGTATCGTTTATTGAGGGGTGCTCGGGTTCATAGTACAGTATAATAAGAGTCGTTCCTGGCATTTACTAACTTGATACGCGCCCTTTAAAAAAACAAAAACAAAAACAAAAACCACGGGAAAGTATATATGACCTAATTCGGGTGGCAAGCCAGTATAAAGTTCCATACCACATAAGTATAAAAAGGTTTACACTGAAATGTTGCATGAAGCATGGAAAAGGACATCACACTTTATTGAAGACTTAATGTCAACGAAACTCGTACAAATGACTTCATCTATTATTAGATTTAAATGTCGTTCTCACATGCAATGTCATTGTCGTTGTTGTTGTGGTCCATGCCATGGGATATTCTATGTAAAAATTGTACATTTGCACTTACTTCGTATATATTACACTAGTCATGCCTCAACACCAAGCTAAATTAATGATTTACAGAGTACAAATGTAATGCAGTAATAATCATGCTGTATAACAATTATTTAATTATAGAATATGGTGAGTAATGCTGAAAATTATATGATTGTTAATTAATCAATATAGACAATCAGAATTATATATCACAAAAACCAATTATACAATGTCATAATGTGGACTTAAGGAAAGAGTTGTGTACCTTGGTGTAGTATCTGCAACCATGGTCACCAAGAGTGACCAAGAGAAGCTTCAAATTAGAGTGCCACAATGACATTGCAGTAGCATCATCGACGGTGTTGCTTTCTGTGAGGAATTCAAGCTCGTTGTCACTGATCTTGATCACCTCGGCCTTGTCCCAGATGCTCAAGATCTGCTCACGAGCCTCCTTGGCGGAAGGCCACAATGGCAGCCTAAGGTTGGGATCGTATGAGAGCAAAGCTCCAGCCTTTTTGGCTTCCTCCATTGCTTTCAAATGGGCTGACCTACATGGCTCGACGATCAAACTAATAGAACCATAGTGAAACACCTTAGCCTGCAATTTGAAGCAAAAATACCCATTAGACTTTTATCAATCATATGATCGGATCGTCAAGCAAAAATTCAAACATTAATCATCCGATTTCATAAACATTGAGGCCGTGAATCATTGAACTCAAACAGTCTAATACAAGAATTTGCGCGAATTAATCGTTACAATTTCAAACAATATACGAAAACAAAACTGCAAAATTTGTTCAAAGTGATCTAGTCACACAAAGTTACTAAAAATATTAAAAATTAACAACTTGACTCCTTAATTATTTGATTACACAAGCAATTAGTCATTTTGCATGCAACTTGTCCAAATTAAATTATATTGCAAGTCCACTTTGATTACATATCAACCTAACATTACTATTCACTAATTATTGTTTATTGAATAATTATACAAAAGGCAAATGGGACGGTGTCAAATAAAAAGAAAAAAAGCGTCAAAGAAATAGGGCGTTAATATAAAGAACACTTGGTTTTCTGACCCTTTAACTTAACGTAGGACCAACAGAATTGATTATGAGGTGGGTCCCTTGTTTTCTGGTAAATTGTCATCGTATTTAACGATGAACCAATAATCTTAATCTTGTTGCTTTTTTCAATAAATCACGGGTTAATGTTTTTAGGACTGTTATACCAAATCTTTGAAGAAAATCTCAAATTGGTTATCCTATACATAATGCATTAGTAATTCTGGTACTCAAAGAAGTTACGGAGTACAAGCAAGAAATGTACACCCTTTACGGACACACGAGTGGATTTTGCCGATTAGTATATGTAACTATTATTTCCGTATCTAAATTGAAAAGAGTATATTAGAATATATTCTTCAATAAAGGACAGAAATAAAGCTTGAATTTAATTAATTAAATATTTGAAATAAGACAGGCTACTACTTGTCATAATTTCCTATAAAATTCAAAGAATTAGATTCTTTAAGACCTACTTCTTATAAAATTAAACACATTTTCATACACATAATAAACCAAGAAAATGTTCATGCAATCGATCAATTAATGTGTATATTTATATCTGAAAATAATGTTCTTGATTTTATGAATTATTTTTAAAGTCAAAGGATTCCATATTTTCCATATTGTTATTTACTGATTTGGAGGTGGAGCCCATGTGATACACTCCTATACATCTGCAATAGTGGGTCCCACTTACATCCATCGAATATTTAGCGCGTGATATCACGTGACTTCTAAGTTCTAACAATATTTTCTAGACAAATCCCAAAAAAAAAAAAAAACATAACAGCAAAATCATAGTCCTTTGTAATTGTACACCAAACAGACAAAAGATCTACCACACTCGTACCACTACCTCCCACAAGCACCAACCCTAGTACCTTGACGGCCTGACTTTAATAACACCAATCCACACGTAATGTAGATCTCGTGGTATGAAGTTCTAGACAAGTATACATTACTTCGAATATGATCAAATTAAAATTATTGACGCAACATATGTACTAAAGTCAATTGATCAAGACGTATATCTACAACCACGTCAACTTTTAATTTTTTTTTTAATATAATTTTATACAAACGTTCATATCTACTAATATTAATTAGATCGCATTCATTCACACTCGATAAAACAAACTCATACTACTATTCCGTCGGTGTAATTAATGTTTTAAAGGAAAAGAAAGATTACCGATCGAATAAGATCGAGGTTAAGCTCATCGGGAGTAAGAAGCATATCGGCACTTGGATTCCGGTAAAACATGAATTCCCTTTCACCGTCGGCTTTCAGTGTAACGAAAGCGAGAGCAGTTCTCGCACCTTGATCGAACGTCAAACCATCGCCGGAAACACCGTTTTTCTTGAGAATTCCGGCGAGCATGAGACCAAACTCATCGTCACCGAGTTTTCCGACGAAGGCGGCTTTACCGCCGAGCCTTGCGACGGCGATCGCAACGTTCGCCGGAGCGCCGCCGGGAGCTTTAAGGAATCCCGGCGCTTCGGCGAGAGAAACGCCGGAAACTGTCGGAACAAAGTCGATCAACATCTCTCCGAAACTGACGACTAAGCCTTTGGAATCGGCGCCATTGATTGAGAGTCCACCATTGTTGTTGTTGGTTTCTGCCATTGTTGAGAGAGGAAGAAAGTAGAGAGAGAAAGTTGAATGTTCAGAGAGAAAGTTGAAATTTGGGAGAGAAGAAGGTGATTGGAAGGGGGTATTTAAAGAGGAGGGTGGGATTTTTAAGGACTATTTTTGGTTGATTTTTATTTTAAGGGAAAAATTAAGAATTTGGGATTTATTAGGAAAATATTATTATAAGGAGTTTTAATTTGGGAGGGATTAGTGGGATTAATAGTGAAAATTAGTGGGTAGGATTAGGTTGGATATAATTATGATACATGATGATGTTTTACTTATTTTTTTATTTTTATTTTTTTACTTGAAACTTACGAAAGTTATTGTGGGACCATATTTTGTGTTGATCCAATTAGGATTAATGCTCCCAATAAGAAGATGAATTAGATAAGAAATTTCCAATCAATTTAATGAATTATTATAGGATAGAATATGTTCTGAATGGATTTTTTTTATTTTTTTTTCTTTACATAAACTGTATGGAATTTAATGTAAATTAAAACTTATTTCCATACAGAATGTATTCTATCTTCTTTTTAGGAAGGATTATGTATTAATTAAGAATTTTAAGATTGGGCCGTTTAAAAAAAAAAAAAAGAATTTTAAGATTGGGATAAAAGGAAGTACTCCGTATATAGAAAGATCATTTTAATTTGGCAATAATCTTACAATTATTAAATATCTTTGATTTTCTTCAGAATAAAAAATAAAAAAAAAAAATCTTTGATTTTCAGAATTAAAATAAAATTTTCAATTATCTTGTAGAAAAATAAATTTACATTATTACCTCTTTTTTATTTTATTTTTTAACATGCATTTTTTTTAAGTGTTTAGAGAGGCATAGGGTAGGGGTGAGAATCGATCCCAAAATATTTAGAAATTGGGAAGGAAGCTCTAATAATTCAAGGTACAATTGATTTATTTATTACTAGTTTTGTGCCCGTGCGATGCCCGGGTTGTTTGAATTTTAAGATTAATTTTTAATCTATATGTCAAATTTTAAAACATATCATTGATACAAATTTAGTTAGGAAATTATGTGTTTTAATTTTGTGACAATTTAAACTATGTAGTGGACATATAATGACTAATAATAATAATATTGGTGAAAACATTTCTTTACCCGTAATTATATTAGATTTTGAAGTATTATTATTTTAATTGATTAGAATATATTATAAATAATAGATGTGGTACATTTTGAACTAATTCCTTCGCTCCAAAAAAATATTATGATACAAAAAATAAAATTATATGATAATTTATGAGAGTTATAATGTAATTATTTTTTGAATAAAATTATAATTCAATTTGTAAATATTGGTACTTTATCGAAAATAAAACTCTAAATTAACCATTTTATCTTAAAATTCTATCCAAATTTGATTGAAAATAGAATTCTAAACAAACTTTTTTATCCTACAAATTGAATTCTGTGTAACTCTATCCTATGATTATATGATATGATATGATATGATATGATATGATGTTTTCAACTTGTGGGTTTGGTGGATGGGATTAATTATATTATTTTATCCATTTCTAATTAATTGGTTAATTTTGGATAACATTGTATTTAATTACTACCCATATGACCATTATTATTTCTTAAATTTATCTGAATATTTTTTAATTGTTATTACGGAGTCATATACTATGGTTGGTCGATACTAGAAAAGTTTTAATTTTTTGAACAATACTTCACATTACTCTATTGTTCTACAAGGCTATGTTACATCACCTTATTTGTCCCAATTCATCAACATGTTAAACAAAAATCGTTTATCTAGTGAAGTAGTGATATTTCGCTACATAAATCCAAAAAACGCTAGCAACATGGTGTTGAAAACTTGAAACCCATTGTAGCCTACTTGTGAATTTCCTACATTGGAGAAAGATGAAAGTTGGTTCCACTTTATAAGGTTGAGGAGTAACTCCTACTATTGCCAATTGATTTTAGTATAGAAGCTTCTAAGCCTTATTTGTGGACCAAATTCTCCTCCTGTACGTGTTGTTTGGGCATATATGATCATAAAAAAAATAATAATAATAAAAAAATCTTTATTACATATGTTATTTGGGCATCGCATACATCAATTGTATTTGTACAACTTTATTTCATATATATGTTCGTCCAAAAAAAAAAAAAACTTTATTACATATGTTATTTGGGCATCGCATACATTTATTGTACGTGTATCGTCTTCCACTGAGACGCCTTCTTGATGAGCTCCAAAGCATCGGCTTCCGTCGGAAGAGCGGGGATTGCACCCTTCTTGGTGGTTGTAATGGCTCCGCATGCATTGGCGAATTTTAAAGCTTCCTTCAATCGTGGTTCATCCTGAATAAATCCATGAGATTTATAGTCAAATGACAATATTTTTCTTTTCAATTGGTCTTGTATGGACCCGGTCTACAATAAATTATTGTAGACCCAAAATTTGACACTTTCAAATAATATAATCACATTCTGGATGATATAATCACTTTTTTAGATGATATAATTATCTTTTTGTGAGTCATATTTTGAATTATATAATCTCATATTAAACTATTTAATGAGATTATATAATTATCTTTAGGATGATAAATTTTAAAAATCATGTTTTAAAATGATGTAATTTACTATTTGATACTTTTTATAATGATAAATTCACTTTTTGAGTTATACAATTACATAACAGCTTCAAAATGATATAATCACTTTTGTATGATATAATCACTTTTGTAGTAATATAATCACATCTTGTATGATATAATCACATTCGTATGGTATACAAGAAGGTTGGGTATATAATAAGTTATTGTAGACCGGATCTATTCTAGTCTTTGTACTTTTCAAAACGAGCTTAAATTTATCAAATCAACTCAACAAATAAAAACCTATCGATACTAAAAATACAAACATGCAAAATGAAAATATATAAACAACAATTTTAAGAAGTTTAGTTTAGACTTTATATTGATAATCATATATTTCGCATTTTAGACCTACATATTCTTTTTAAATAATAATTATCATGAACTTTTTTAAGTGAGAATATAGTGTCTACTTCATTACCTCCTCTATTATTTTGTAGACAACACATGTTGACTTTTGATACTATTAATATTTACAAACTGTTTTTACGATTAAACATAGTCATATAAAATATTGCGTGCTTAAATTGTCTCAATACAGTACACATGATCAAATTGAAGAACAAGTATATAGATAAGAATTTACCTCGATAATAGACTGATCATCAACGATTTTGCCTAATAAGGCACCAACAAAGGAGTCCCCAGCACCGGTTGTGTCAATTGCATTCACCTTGAATGCGTCTACACTTCCCTTGAATTTCTGTAACACAAAAAAAAAATAGAATTATTTAATGACTACTTTGACTTAGACTTGCACTTAAATAAGCAAAAAATTCTATATTATCGTTTTTAATTTTCCACTTGGCATGATTCTATATTATCGTTTTTAATTTTCCACTTGGCATGATTATAGATCATTAAAATATACATAATCATGATACATGTACAAATTTTTAAAATCGTGGTCCATATATATTTGATTGTCTTGTTCTTGCTAGGATTTATTCGAGTATCTAGTAGTCACCTTATAAACTAGACATCCCAACAACCCTTCTACATATCCTCCTAATAATTTGGGTTACAATGCGTAAACCCAAAACTCTTATACGAAGTAAACAAAATGGTACATAGCTGAAACTTTTACAACTAATTTAACGAGGGAAGAAATAAAAAAATTTATACTTTCTTTGTCTCAGAATAATTGGCACTGTCATCCTTTACGCACATGCAAATTTACTAATTAGACATTATTTCCATATAATTAAATATTACGAGTAATAACAATTAAAATAACAGTAATATTATGAAACTTTATATTAATATCTATCGAATAATATATTTTCTTTACCTTAGTGTAGTATCTACAACCATGATCACCAAGAGTGACCAAGAGAAGCTTCAAATTAGGATGCCACAACGACAACGCCGTAGCATCATCGATGGTGTTACTTTTTGTAAGAAATTCGAGCTCGTTATCACTGATCTTGATCACGTCGGCCTTGTCCCAAATGCTGAAGATCTTCTCACGAGCCTCCTTCGCCGAAGGCCACAAAGGCAGCCTAAGGTTGGGATCATACGAGAGCAATGCTCCGGCCTTTTTGGCTTCCTCCATTGCTTTAAGATGGGCTGATCTACATGGCTCGACGATTAAACTTATTGACCCATAGTGAAATACTTTGGCCTACATATGAAGCAACATAAAAAGGTGCTTATTATTAGATTTTTATCTAATTTAATTAATATACTAAAGTTGTAATGAACAAAATCAAACCGTCTAATTCAAGAATTTGGGCGAATTATAACAAATATTATTACATCGTCCTCAATTTTTGAATAATTATGCTAACAAAACTACCTGTACAGTTGTTTTAAATAATCCCAAGGTTATCTAGTCACGTAAAGTTACATTTACTATTACAAAATTATTACTGAAAAAATAAAATAAATTCTTAAAATTGTTTTTATTTTTTTATTGGTGTTTAGAGAGCAGGGCGGGAGTGAGAATCTGAAATCAGGAGGGAAGCTCTAACAACTTGAGTTATTCCTCACTCTCAAATTCTTAAACTTGTTAGTTATACTATCCCGTCAAAAAAAAAATGATAGCTATACCAAATTACGCATTGTATGTAATATCAAAGTGGGATAGTTCAAGTGGTTAGACTTTTCGTCTCGATTACGGGATTTTCTGAATTCGATTCTCATCACTCGCTTTTGTGACTCACTTTAACACCAAATTTACTTAGTGTAATATAATTAACGTGATTTCCTTGTTATGCATACTAAAGGTGTTACTACCTCCGTTACAGGTTATGTGCAACGTTAGACATTTTTCCTCTCTACTTTATGTCAAATCGTTACACATAACCTGTAACGGAGGTAGTATTAATGTTTCGAAAGAAAATAAAAATTACATACCGAACGAATGAGGTTGAGGTTAAGCTCATTAGGAGTAAGAAGCATGTCAGCACTCGGGTTCCTATAAAACATGAATTCCCTTTCACCGTCAGCTTTCAAAGTAACGAAAGCAAGGGCAGTTCTTGCACCTTGATCGAACCTCAACCCGTCACCGGAAACACCGTTTTTCTTGAGAATTCCGGCAAGCATATGACCAAACTCATCATCGCCGAGTTTTCCAATAAAAGCAGCTTTACCACCGAGCCTCGAAACAGCGATGGCAACATTCGCAGGAGCACCACCGGGTGCCTTAAGAAATGCCGGCGCTTCGGCTAGGGAACGCCGGAGACTGTTGGAACGAAGTCGATCAACATTTCTCCGAAGCACACTATTAAGCCATTTTTGTTGGTTTTTGGCATTGTTGAGAGAA